CGGGTGTGTGTGTGTGTGTGTGTGTGTGTGTGTGTGTATGTATAGGAGGCGTTCTTCGGTCTCATTTATGCTTGATGTAAAAAAAAGGACCCATTTAAAGGATGACGATGCGGTCATCTTTGCCCCAATGTCAACAAAACTTCGAAGAAATAAAATACAGTCGGGGCGGAAATAATCACGTTTTTTTTCCAACCACAACTGAGTGAAATTTAAACTTTGCAACTTCTTAAAAATCAACAATTTTCTTCTGTTTGAGATAGTCACTATTTGAAGAACAAATTTATGACAACTATGCCGTGGGTGGTTGGCGGGTGCTCTGGTCTGGTTTGTTCTTTCTTTCCTATCAAACATCTATCGTCCTTATCTCTCATCCTTCTTTTTTGGTGTGTTTGTTACTCTCTTGTAACACCTCTAATCTTCGGCACTTATATGACCTTATTGTGTTGCAACTGTCGTAAAACTCTTACTAAGCCCAAACTTACAAGTGTGCAGTGAGACCTGTAACATACAATGAGATCAGATCTGTAACCAGATCAGGCCAGTGCTACTGACTGAAGAGTCTTTAAGCCATTCTCAAACGGGGGATAGTAACATGTTCTAATGCACAGTAGAATTGTAAATGGGCTGATTTATCAATGTCATGCTCATACTGTGCCGGAACAACATAGGGGGAACTGCTGCTTTTTCTTTCCTCCTCCATACTATTGTAATTTTCCTCTACGTTATTTTGTATGTTTGTCACTCTCTTGTGACTCGCTGGGGTGCTTTGATAGTCGAAGCAGACCTTGTGCTGTTGAGGCTATAGAGGTGAGCAGAGTAAGCCGGATTCCCCGTTCGGACTTCTCAGTTGACATCTACCCCTTGGCGTTCATATGACCTTGTGCAGTTGGGAGCGCCGTAAAAACTTACTAAAACTAAACTAAATCTGTACCATACAGTTGATACACACAGGTAGACAGAATCACTCTAGTAAGCTCAAAGATCCCTTGCCCATCTTGTTCCAGTGTGGAGCTCCCTTCAACACTCGAGTCCAAATTTAAAACATATTTAGAGACACATTAATTTATGAAACAATTTCCCGATAGCCTCACTTCCGTGTGATCTAACAGTGCAGCGACAATGGGTTGTGATATTACTATTGGAAGAGGCTAGCCGTACGTAAGGACGTCTAGCCGTACGTAAGGACGTCTAGCCGTACTTAATATTGATGGCTGAATTGTA